TTATTATTAAAATATTTATTATATAATATATATAAATATATATAATAATTATTATTATAATAAAAATTAATATTAAATAATAATAATATTAAAAAATATATTATATAACATTTTTCTCTTTTTTACCCCCAAAAACACCAACAGGGATGGTATAGTTGCATAAATGATACAAGTTTTATAACAGGTTTAAATATGGTCAAATATAATTGGAAATTTTAGTATAATATGTAAATTAATAGATCACACGCTCTCTATTTATAACACTATCATCCCTGTTTGTTGAGAGGGGTGAGAAAACTTTGACACTGTTTATCAAATACAGTTAAACCTGTCTATAGCGCTCCCTCTTGGGACTCACCAAAATAGGGTGTTATAGAGAGGGGCTGCTATAGACAGGTTACTTTTAATGTAAATAGCATCGTAATACGTATTTAAAATCGGGCGCTATGACCACCCGAGTCAACGTTTTTAAAATATATTCGCACTCGGGTAAACCCCGGGCGTTGCCCGGGCCATTCGTCTAGTATAAAAATAAGAAAGATTAAAAGGGAACTTTTACTCTTTTCCATTAAAACTTCTGAGTTTAACAAGTAGGTTTATAGATGAAGTTGCAGATTAAAATATAGGCTATTAAAAGCCTAATCAAATTGAACCAATACCTAATTTAGGTTAAAAAAAAACTTGAGAGATCTTGAATATATTAATTCCTCCCCATAATTTAAAACGGGTAAAAAAAATCAGAAGATTAACTTTATTAATTTGTTTTCATAAAGCCTGATTCTGATATTACTGCATATGTTTGTTAATAATGCATCCTAGAGGAAATTTTCATCCCAGGGATATTTCATCCTAGGAATATTCAAGTTAACCAAGTATTATACCAATTTACCTATTTTAGGTATTAATAATGATGGAATATTAGTGTATCATATTTGATAGGCAAGAACAAAATTCTTTCGAGGATTATTCTTTCGAGTAGAACATAGAAAAATCAAGACCATTTTTTAAAGGCAGGAACAAGATAATTTCAGTGAAACATTCACTCAATAGAACACGGGCGAAGCAATGGGAGTTCCATGTCTATTTTAACTCTTTTCAACCAAAACCTCTAATAGAAAATTGACGCGCGATGTAAACAAAAGTTATGATTGGTTCATTTTTTTTAAACAATAATTAATTGTTAATATTTCAAGAGAGAGACTATTAGTATCGTACAAGGATTTGTATGATAATTCCAAGGAAAGCAAAAAGATAAAATTAAGTAAATAAAAGAGTTAAAAACACTGATATTTGCATATGAAACATAGGTACATAAATCTTTATTAAGACATTTCGTTTTATGCTAAAATTCTTCAACTAATGAATGAGAGCATAGATTTGCATAGACAGACTAAAAACATGTTCTAAGAGGCTATATATAGCTTTTACTTTTTTTTTTATCGCTTGCAGAGACTCTGAGGTAAATCCAGATATAATACATTTCTTTTCCTCACTTTACCCAGATTAATCTATTAGCTTGATTGTCTTAAGTTTTCCTGTATATAAATTTCATATCACCTTTATATGATTAGCTTTAAAATAAATAATAATAACAATTTTTATTACTGGCACTATTACTCCTGTAAGTACCCTACATTTCTACTCGTAGAATCTGTATAAGACTGAAAGATCTTAATGAAAATTTGTTATTGTTGTTCTAAGAGGTTAAATATTAAAGAACCAAGGTAAGACGACTTAACAGACCAGATTGGATTCTAATAGGTCGGTTAACTTAGAATTTGTCCAATACAACCGAATTCTTCTCAGGCAGGTACTGATATTGCTGGGAAATAGAAGAGATCCAAATTGCCTCCATATAAAATGGCTCAAATTGTAGCAGTTCCTGTTGATCCCCCTGTGAGCTATCCATGAGATGAAACCAAGTGCTGTCGTCTGGTGAAGTAAATACATTAGGTTCAATAATCCACACACACACAATATGCAAATTCAAATTACTATGAAAGGAAACCAAAAGGTAAACACTTTTAAACATGTCCTAGTTCTAAATTTCCCGTTTTTTGCCCAATTTACAAAATAAATATTATTAGAATGATATTATTAATATAATTATTTATTGTATGTGTTAATTAGATTTTAAAAAACTGGTGGCTGACGATTTTAATTGGCTCCGTCCGCTATTTTTAACTTAACTTTATTGAGGTAAAGCTCTAATTCGGTTTATGGCTGTCTGTCGTTATAGACCGCTCGTTGAACGGGCTAAGGTCCTAGTTCACACCGTCAAAATAGACGTCAAAACTATGTGTTCAATCTCTTTTTATCCTGGCTAGGGATAATTGCGTCGATTTACATTTTTTTTTAGAAACAGAAACAATTATAAACATATTATACAAGAAAAAGTAATCGAAATAAAAAGAGAAACAATAATATATATTAGGAACCTGAAACTTTCAGGTTAGAAAGATAATCATAAATATATTTACAAAAATAGTTAAATCTATGATAATTCACTCTGTTATTTACAAATTGATATAGATCTACAACATTATTTATTGCCTGTTTTACTTTCTTTCATATCTGTATGTCTGCACACAAAGATTGAAATTAATTTTTAATATACTTACAGAGCACCTAGAAATCTCAAATTCGGTACACTTGTTCAAACCTGATGACATTCCAAGTTGGCAAAATTTCAAACTTCTGGGTATGCGGGGTGATCGGCAATTTACTTTCGGTGTGTATTCAATTTTAATATATTTCACGACCACATACACAGAAGTCTGAAACTTCGTAGATTCGCCCAAAGCAACTAACAATGAGCCAAGCCCTCTCATTCAATAACTCATATCATTGCAGTAAGGTCTGAAGAGATGATATCTGATGATATTTAAAAGAAACGCATTGCCAGAAAATTTATTTGTACAACATTTTAACGATAGATGGCATTTAAATTTACAACTAACAATGCAAGTTGAAAAAATTCCTGACTTCTGGGTTGGTCGGTAATTTCTGAAATGATATTCGATTAACCACATTAGAATTTACCTTAGTACATGGTAAAATTCTTTACGAAAGTCTATATACAAAAACACCATAAGAGTTGAATTTGGTTTATTGTTTAAAATGTGACATTTATAAACATTTTTATTGGTTGTGAGGTGTTTCTGCCTTTCATAAATTCAACTTGATAATCTGAGATTATTGGATTGATTACTTCTCGAATTCTATTTCTGAAGATATTTGTCAATGTGAAAGTCGGCTTTCTAAGATGGGTTTATAAAACTAAGAAATCATTCCAGGTGATTTTAGCTAATTTAGATTTTACCAAGGGACAGGATTTGGCGATTTGAATGAAGTGCGGGTCTTACAGGAATAACCCTCTTTGCCAGTCGTGCCATACAAATAGGTTGAACGGCAGGGCATACATAAGCGCAGTGGCCAAATCTCCAGAAATGGTTATATTGTTTTAGGGAAGAACATTCCTGTGGAATTCCCATGAAAGAGACTTAATAATGTTTAAAAATTCGAAACTATTATAGACACGTATGATTATTTTTAAAAATAATTTCTACTGTCCTTACTGCAACGGAAAAAATTGATGTAGAAATTGTTTATTTTAAAAAAGAATCATACGCGTCTATAATAATTTCGAATTTTGATAACAGATGGCGCGCTAATGGATCATAATATAAATGCTATAATAAAATACACAATTTGATATTTGCGAAAGAGCGATTGCTCGAAGCATATTATATAATTATAATTGTATGTAATTCTGCTGTCCTCAAAGTTTATGTCCATAGTTAATTTAAAATACCCATTCAAAGAGTCTAATTTCAGTATCACTATGAGAGGAAGTTCGAAAAATGCAATATAACAGCTCATTTATTTTGGTTAGCAGCCCCGTAAATAAAGATATTTTCTCTGCAATATAACAGCGGTATGGAAGATAAAACTGGAGAAACCGCTGGGAGGGTTCACCACTGATGAGCCAGGCCCTCCCATTAATTTTTACATTGCAGTAAGGACAGTAGAATTTTTTTATTTTTAAAAAGAATCATACGCGTCTATAATAGTTTCGAATTTTGATAACAGATGGCGCGCTAAGGCATCATAACTTAATAATGTAATGGTAATATAAAGAACTGAGGAGTCTTCTACTTTCGTGGCCCCGTGGCTTAGTTGGTCAAAGCGTCTGTCTAGTAAACAGGAGATCGTGAGTTCGAATCTCGCTGGTGTAATCTTTTTTAAAAATTTATTTTAGTCTAGTATTTATTTAAATGAAATATTTTTAGAGAGAGAGAGAGAGAGAGCACACATACTCCCAAATAGATCACATCTCCTACGTCGTTCAGGAACATGACGTTAGTCTCCTGCAGGAAGCAGATGTCAATCTCTTGCTCCTTAAGAAAAAAAGCAGAGCTGGATTCTCCTGCGAAGAGCGGCGATGCCGCGCGTGTTCAGGATTGCAACGCGGAATTTCATTTGTGATGCCGAGCAGAGTTCCTGGCGCGCAAGAGATTCTTGTACAGGGTACTTCTTTCTTATCTCCACTCAATCATATTAGGGTATCAAGCTTGTTAAGTTAGATACTTTTGATGGTGTCTGCCGGGGATGAGTAGAGCTCATATATGGATGAGTCATACAGTCAATAATGTACACACTAAGTCGGCCTGCCACTTAGTAGTGCTCCCATTCTTAATGACAAAGGCATACGCATTCGTATTTTGAGTTTAAATATAGTTAACTAGACGAATGGCCCGGGCAACGCCCGGGTTTTACCCGAGTGCGTATATATTTTAAAAATGTTTTAATTAAAATACTATTCGTTACAATTATAAATTGGCGCCGTGGATGTCTCTCTTGTGAAACGTCCCGCCCCAAACTGTGTGTGTCTTGAAAATATAAAAATAAAAATGTGAATTTTCATAAAGATTTCATCATGTCGATTTTTTTTTTTTTGCATTTCACCTACTAAATTAACTTTATGAACGGAAAAATATGTCCAGGGTAGCCTAGTGGTCATGGCATCTGCCCGGTAAGCGGAAGGTCGTGGGTTCGATTCCCATGGAAGCAAGCCTTGTTGTTCAAACCACGCGCGTGTGTCCCGGATGCTGCCCGCGCATGCGTAGAGAGGTGTTCTCCCAGCTCGCGGTTGCCGAGGCGTAGTGAGGCCAACACACTATTGCCCGTATGTGTAGTGAAGCTTTGTCCCAGTTCGCGCTCGCTGAGGCAAAGTGTGGTGGCTACATACACATCACTTTTTTTCTTTTATAGTTAAAATGCTATGTTTTTATTCTTTATTCAATGAAAAATTAGCTAAAATTTGGATTATATATATACTAGACGAATGGCCCGGGCAACGCCCGGGTTTTACCCGAGTGCGTATATATTTAAAAAAACGTTTTAATTCAAATACTATTCGTTACAATTATAAATTGGCGCCATGGATGTCACTCTTGTGAAACGTCCCGTTCCAAACTGTGTGTTTTTAAAATGTTTTAATTAAAATACTATTCGTTACAATTATAAATTGGCGCCGTGGATGTCTCTCTTGTGAAACGTCCCGCCCCAAACTGTGTGTGTCTTGAAAATATAAAAATAAAAATGTGAATTTTCATAAAGATTTCATGTCGATTTTTTTTTTTTGCATTTCACCTACTAAATCGATAGAGATAATTACATTTGCAACATGAACTTAGGTATATTGACTAAATAGAAAACTGCATAGTAATAAATTAACTTTATATTAACTTTATGAACGGAAAAATATGTCCAGGGAGCCTAGTGGTCATGGCATCTGCCCGGTAAGCGGAAGGTCGTGGGTTCGATTCCCATCCCTTGACACTTTTTCTATTTTATCCATTCTGACCAAAATCTATCCGCGAACTTCACACAGTGAACTTCACACAGACAGAATAAGGCAATTATATAATACTAGACGAATGGCCCGGGCAACGCCCGGGTTTTACCCGAGTGCGTATATATTTTAAAAACGTTTTAATTCAAATACTATTCGTTACAATTATAAATTGGCGCCATGGATGTCACTCTTGTGAAACGTCCCGTTCCAAACTGTGTGTTCTTAAAATGTTTTAATTAAAATAATATTCATATATTAACTTTATGAACGGAAAAATATGTCCAGGGTAGCCTAGTGGTCATGGCATCTGCCCGGTAAGCGGAAGGTCGTGGGTTCGATTCCCATCCCTTGACACTTTTTTTATTTTATCCATTCTGACCAAAATCTATCCGTGAACTTCACACAGACAGAATAAGGCAATTATATAAGTAGATTATAAAGATAGAAGCTTCTCTATAGAAATAACTAAAATAAGCCAAAATAGCTCAGTTGGGAGAGCGTTAGACTGAAGATCTAAAGGTCCCTGGTTCGATCCCGGGTTTCGGCATCTTTTTTTAATTTTTACTTACCATAACTTGACACGTGACCAAAATCTATCCGTGAACTTCACACAGTGAACTTCACACAGACAGAATAAGGCAATTATATAAGTAGACTAGACGAATGACCCGGGCAACGCTCGGGTTTACCCGATTAAATGTTTTATTCAAACACTATTCGTTACAATTATAAATTGGCGCCGTGGATGTCACTCTTGTGAAACGTCCCGCTCCAAACTTTACAGTCAGATTAGTTACGATATAAATCTTCAAATCGAGCGAGCGTCTATAAATATTTCGATTTAAATCAAGTATTCAAATTAGTAAGCGAACTATTATTAATAAAATTTTGAAAAGATTTCGATTTTAAACGTATTTATAACCTTGATAGAGGGCGCTGTTCGTGAGCTAAGTAGAATAATTTGAATATATAGTTTTAATATTTAATTTATATATAATTTAAAATTACCTATCGTTGTCCTAGGTAGCCTAGTGGTCATGGCATCTGCCCGGTAAGCGGAAGGTCGTGGGTTCGATTCCCATCCCTTGACACTTTTTTTATTTTATCCATTCTGACCAAAATCTATCCGTGAACTTCACACAGTGAACTTCACACAGACAGAATAAGGCAATTATATAAGTAGATAAATAAATAATTATCATTAGATAATGATAATGATCATAATGATGATGCGCGCGTTGATGACCAAAATCTACCGTGAACTTCACACAGTGAACTTCACACAGACAGAATAAGGCAATTATGTAATACAAAACGGAATAATAAAATTTGATTTAGCCCAGACAAGAAAAAAGCCTCCGATTATCAGTCGGACCGACAAACATAGTCAGATGACAAACAGTTCCCCTCTGCTCTGAAATAGATTTGACCCTCTTCGACCTGAACCGGCCTCTCTCTCTGAGGCGACATTAAACATGCCTCGTCCCTTTGTGCTATCTCTCTGACGCCTGAAACCACTCTGACAATTGTGGTCACCACGACTGCATCTAACATACCTACCACCACAATCAGGAGACAGAAAAACATACCATAAATATATATTAGAAAAACAAGGTAATAATATTGGATTTGATCTTATTATTTTGTGATTCTTTATTCACTTTAAGTACTCATTTTATTAACCTCAAGTTTTTTTTATTAAAACCTCGGAAATGTACATGTTATATTATATTATGCATGTTATAACTTGTTGTGTACTTCTATGCTATGTAAATAGGTTTACCTCCATTTCCCTTCCAGACAGTTGCTATGGCTGTACATATAAGCACCAGCCCACCTGCTGTGAGGGCAGTCTGTTATCGGCAATCCGCTATCTACAGCGGTCATCTCTTGACAACCTTTTTTTTACCACGTTCTAATAAAAACTGTTTGTTTTTCATTTTTAAATTAAACACAAAATTAAAAAAATCTTTCCGCTCGCCCAGTGTCTTTCTTTTCACAAACACTGAGGGGGGGAAGGGCTTGGTCTAAATC